CCTGTTTTTTTTTAAACCAGCCTTATTTTAAGGGATCTCTACAAGTCCTGTGAACAGCTTGACCTCCGTCACAGCCTGATTGGAAGTTGTAGGGTAAAGTAGAGAGAATGATCCATCACAGTGGACCAGTTCTCAGCTGTTCAGTGCTTAAGTCCAAATCAGATCTGTTCCTGCCGGGTTTGGGGCCACACTGGACTATGCTTTCTGTCCTTTCTAGGGCAAGCCAAGCCAGACGTGATTTGTCTGAGGGAGAAGAATTTGTTCCATTTGCTCAAATATGTTCCCAAATCAAGGGTGGCAAAGAGCCGCATGTGTTCAGACTCAACGGCTTACCTAGGGCCCTGCCTGACAGCGACGGCTGCTCAGGAGCAGCATAAGAACATCCAGTACAGAGAAATCCTCCTCCTGCTCTGGATGGTTCCCTGGGGACTTCCTGAGCTCTAGCCCACATCTGGACTGCTGTGTTTTGATAGCCCCCAAAGAATCCACCCCTCATGGGCACATCCAACTCAGTCACCAACACTACAAAAGCATAACACCCGCGTGCTGGGAAGAGGACATTCAGACTGGCTAGAAGCAACGCTTTATTTCACTATCTACCTAAGCAATTAAGAACAACTCTTGAAATAACTGAAGGGTTAAAACCCGTCACCGTTCACCAGCTAAGTTAAACCAAAATCATGTCTACCCCACCTACCCTGGCTAACCGTAACATGGGAAGTGCTGGTCTGTGGGGCCACAATTAACCTTTAGGTCTCTAAATCCCTCTGAAACAGCACAAGTTACACACGAGAACTTAAAAAAAAAAATCTTCCAGTAATTTGCCTGTCACCTTCTGAAATGACAGCTCTTATTTGGGTTTAAATACTGCTGTTTGCATTAGGAGTGTATAATAGCTGATATCACCATTCTGGAGATGATCTCCCACTATCACAGTCACCTGCCTGTGTGTGGGGGTACATCCACCTCAGCTGGCAGATAGACACGGCTGCTGGAAGAGCACCTGCACCAGCACGGGCCAGGCTCGGGCCAGGCTCCTGGGCATGCACAGGGCAGTAACGCTGCCCGTGGGATGCAGCCGCAGCCACCCACGACACCAACAGTCGAACGGCAGGAAGGTGTGCACGTGTGGGCACAACGCTTCGCCCACTCAGTGCAGAGGGCTCAGCGCCAACCCTCACCCGACCGAGAAGAGGATCTCGCACGCTCTGCTGCTGTTCTTCAGAGGGAGGGCAGAGCACCGTGTTTTTCCAAACACAGATGATAACGTGCAACACCCAGCTGCAGTGCCACAGGCCAGAGACCCTCAACAGCAACCAGGACAGACAGCTCTGTCCTGGGCCTGCTGGACACACAACCACTCTCCGATGTTGGAAGTCTGCCTAAGCTTCCACTTTTTAGTCGCACTGAAGTGCGTAAACCAGACAGCAATGCAGGCTAATCACCACTGGAAAAGTTAAAAAGAAACAAAACATTTTAAAGAGAGTGAGAACAGACAAGAATGCATCTTCTGTACAAAATCATTCGTGGGGCAGGTCTGCAGGAATGGGCTGGATTTCACAAGCTGAGTAACCCACTCGGAAAGGGGTCACAAACCATCTTCCTCTGTAGCGTGCCGAACCCCTACAGCTACCCTTTGCTTAAAAATACAAAGCCAAAAATTAAAGAACGATTCCCTTGCAGAACAAAGTTATCTGCTTTTGAAATAATACAGCTGTCCTGCTGAAGCTTGGGGGAAGCAAGGAGATGATCCTGCACTCTCCAGCCACTGCCATTAGCTCAGGCCACGGGAAGCCCAAAAGGGCAGTGGCTTTGAGGCCTAGGCTAAGCTTCACGCTCCTCTTCTGTGCCCGTGGCCGATGGGAGCACGGCTTCCTCTCCAAACAGCTCGTCATGACTGCTCAGTGCTCCGCTCTGTCCTCTAAGCCCTGCCTCAGCTTCCTCCTCTGCAGCTGGGAATGCACAGGGAAGCAACAGAGCACTGTTAGAGACATGCACACGCTTATTCTCTAGACTGGCACTAAAAAAGCAGTAACAGACTGTCCTGTGGGCTCTTGGGTTGGCTGCAAGATAGTCAAGTACTAAGAGCAACAGACCTACTCTCACAGAGGTTATCATCTTGGAAGGCTGGCCCTCCAAGGGAGGTTACGGGCACACACAGTCCAAGCATACCTTCCTTCTGCCTCTTGAAGTCAGTTCAGAAAGGAAAATGTAAAATCAGAAAGGGATGCAAGTGATGCTAGTTATGGATTTTCAAGCCTGGCAGCCTCATCATTGTGCTCAGGCCCCACTGTCTGTGATGGGGCTTCCAGCCCCAACATTTCTGCAGAATTACATCTCGGGCTCTTATGCATGGGCTGTTCCCGGCGAGAGCTCTTGCAGAGGAAAATGGCTAACCTCTGACAGTGGGGAAAGCATCTGGCAAGTCCTCTTCTCTCTTGCTTCTGTACTTAGAAAGGCCCTAGCAATCAAGTATGTGCTTCAGTGAGTCTATCGCATTTTTAAGAGGATCCCTCCTTTCAAAAAGCCTCACTAAACTGTGAGGAAAGGCCTGGCCCTGGTCAGATTCTAGCACAAAAGCCTGCGGGATGTAAGAAGAGAGCAAAGAACAGAGCTCTGCAGGTCACCCAGCTGGCACTGGGACATTAGTTCTATTAGAAAAGGTTATAAATTACCCGACTGTCACCAGTGAATCAGCACTTGGAAATAAATCTATTTCACTTTGATGAGACTCCCTTCATCTTGGCAGGCTCCACCTCCGACCCACCTACATATCCGTTTGGCTGAACATCTGAACAGACGCCCTGTTGGGGGCTGTTACCCAAGGATGTCATACAGCATGGGGCGAAGCGCTGGCTTAGCGAGTTGGGCTCAAAGCAGCCTCTCCCCTTCTCCCCTTGGAAGGCGCTGCCTGGGAAGCCCATCTTGTTTCAAGTTGTTGCCCAAAGAAATTTGGAGCATTGGGTACAATTTGAGGCTTATTACAATTCAAGGCCTGACAATTTATTCTTCCATGATAGTGCTCCAAAAAAAGCAATTTCTGCCTAACCAGGAAACCAAGAGAAAAAAACCAAGGTCTTCAGGTGCAAGATTTGGTAAAACCAGACCTTGCTTTTACTCAGGTCCACAGAGGCCCACCAGGCCATCATTAAGGAAAAACTAAAGTAATTTGGCTAGTCCTGAATTACAGAAACTGGAGCTTTCCTTATCACAAGGAAAGGTCAGTTGCAGGTACCTCTAATCACACTGTGGTAGAGTAAATCAGCATCCCTACAAACAGGACTCAAAACCTCCCCTCCAAAACAATTAAACTAGGCTGGAGCAATTAATCTAGAAACTCACGTTCTGTTGATGTAGGCAGTGAGAACACAGGCAGCAAGACAAAGAAACTGCTGCCTCGATCATACAGTACCGCTGCTGCAATGACTGTAGAGCTGAGCAGTCTTTGTCTTTAGTCTTATCACAGACATGCCCTTCAGCCTTCTGCTCACACGCTACGTGGCTTACAGGCACAGAGAGGCCAAAAACGGAAAGCTACTCGATTACCACCGCTTTGTAAGAGCTACATGGTTAAAACCACACACGCCCCTGTACTTACTGGTTGGCTTACCTTAAAACAACAGGAAATCCCTAATAAAGAAAGAAGCAATTCTGTAACCAGATAGTTACCAAGACTGGAGCAGGAAAAAGGTCTCAGTATAAGGCTACAAGCACCCTTCTTCCCCAGATGTGCCATCTACTCTGAACACTGAGTCATTTTAGGGCTCTGCTCCAAAATAACTCAGTCTAGCAAAGCTGGCCAAAAGAATTAAATGTGCTAAACAACAGAGTCCAGCAGGAGCAAGCTATTACTTGATGAAGGAAGGAAATTGGCATATGGGTAACACGCAGGAAGGGGCATCCTGGTTGATCAAATAAAGGACCAAGGCATCCGGAGCATCACGGCTCACTCACTATGCGTCACTCACACCACTTAATAATCAATAGTCTCCTCCACTGCTGAAAGGATTATTCAGACCTCAAGGCCTTTCCTAAAAAGCTTTAAACGGACAAAAAAAAAAAAAAAAAAAAAAGCCACTTCTGCCCTACCCATCCCAGCATCATTCTCTCCTACCTGGTACTGTGAAGTCCTGAGTGTAGATGATATCATCTTCAATGTCATACAAGTCATCATCTTCTTCCTCATTGTAGCCATGCAGATCTTCCAGATAAGGCACCGCCGTCATACTTCTCCACCTGTCCTTTGTTTCTGGGCTGGGAGGTATGGGCACCAGAGCCTCTGCCTGAGCATGTTTCTTACGAAACCAACTGCAAAGAGTCCAAGAGCAGAGTTTCATCGGTACAGCTTCACTTTTCAGAAGGCATGGAGAAATCCTTGACACTATGAGATGGTCCCATTCCACCCCAATAACTCAAAGGTGTGTGCAGCTTGTTTATGGAAAAGTTCCTAGCCAGTTTTATGCCACTGCAGGTTTTTTTTAATGTGCAATAACCAGGAGAGGCGAGTGCCAAGAAAGGCAAGTCTGTCTTGCTGACAACGCTGCAGGGACATCAACAGCTGTGTAAGCCACTCCACGAGGTGCTCCATCCACTGGGTGCTTTGTCAGCTAAGGAGAAACTAACAGGTCTACCTGGAAACAGAGTGCAGGAACATTCTCTCCATCACCAACTCAAGCCCAAACTACCTACCTATAAGTCAAAACACATTATTAGAGCTGCTAGAGCTCCTGAGTTGTATTGCCAAAGCAAGCAGAAAAGGAGAAACTTCTACCCTAAAGTTGAAGCTAATCCAGCACAACAAGACAAAAGGAAGGTTGCAGAATGTCAATCTAAGGAGAGTGGTATTTACTTGCAAGCTCCTTTAACAGGCAGTTTTCAACAAGACCACAGCAGAAATGCTTATACTTTATCTTCTTATCCCACCTCTGTCTCAAGGGACTGCTATTACCATTAAAACCAGTAGCCATAGTGCTACCATCTGCCCAGTAAAGGAAATGAGCTCTGAAAGCTGTTCTTAATCAGATCAAGAATCCAACAGGCTTGCATCACATCAGCATCTCAGAAGCCACATGGATAGCCTCTTACGTTTTTATCGTACTTTCATAGCAGGGTTCCAACACCAGACTGTCTCTGGGACATCTATCAGCGCTGCATGTGGGCACTGAAAGTTTCCTAGAAGTACTGCTGGAACCTCCACACTCCTGCTGATCCTCTCTTGAATGCAGGTGGGAACAGAAGTTCCTCCAGAGCTAGGTACTTCTAACATGCCTTTCCTGCCCACACACCTCCTGCTACTCCTTGCTCCCCCTGCAAGACGTCCCGCAGCAAGGAGAATCAGCTGCCTATGGCTAGCAAATGAAAAGGTCAGGCGATAGCCATCCAATCGCTCCCTCCCCGATAAATGGTGGTGTTCTGCTGCCTTTGAAGGTGGTCTGCCCAGCAGCTGGCTGTCCCTGCTAGCAGGGAGGCTGTCCTACAGAGGCACTTCATCAGGCTGTTACTCATACCTTGCTCTGGAGGGTCATTCTACACAAAGGAAGGGTCAGAAAGCATCAAAGCCTCCCACATTTAGGACCATCTCCTGAACTGCAGCCTGCTTTCCTGATAAACTTTTGAATTGGCACAGATATCCGCCCCCCTACGTCTACACTGTGGGCTGGATGTCAGTTAAGCCACGGGGACCTATTCTTCCTGGTCTTTGCACAGTAACAAAAGAAAGAAAAGCCTCACCAGATCAACTGCACTCTTGTGCTCACCTTGCTAAATATTATGTAGATGCCGCTTACCTGCACAAAGGGACATTCAGAGTCTTTCACAGCAGGAGGCAGCCTAGAAAGTCTAAGCCTTTTTCCCCCCTCTCAAAGTTTACTTTAGGCCACAAAAGGGTGCTGCTTTAGGAAGCAACTTAAGGTCTCTCTGAAAACTGACCTCAAAAGCAGAGCAAGATCTAAAGTTATCCCTTCATGGCATATTCACTTCTTTACCTGACAACTGCTGCCCTAGACAAGCCTGATATGACATGAGAGCTTCCCCCTCCGTAGTTTGCACAGGCATCCAGTAACTCCTGGCTAATAACCACTGAAGAGGGCCTGAAGCCAGTCACCAAAGAGCTCTTATAAACCTGAGCCATCTGTTTTTTATCACTCCGGTTCCAAATTCATTTTAGGAAGTAAGGGTTGGATGCACCTCCTGCTCAGAAGAATGGTAATTACAATTTTGTTCTAGCCTTACATTGCTTTGACAGTAGGCCTAAAATAAAAAGTGGCAATCTAACAAAACTATCCAGCAAAAGCAAGGAGTTAGGAGATAAACAAATGAAAATGTAGCTACTGGGACAAATCAGCTAGGATTCAAAGGAGGAGTGAACCCTCTTCCAGAATCCCTGCTTCACAATTAGCATCCTCAAACCATTTTCTCCGTAGTGACTGAGTTTTAAAGTCAGCCTACTGCTCTGAGGAAGGCAGCATCCTGCCATTTGCAGTAAGAAAGAGCAAAGTAGTCCCTACAGCCTAAAGTTTTAAAAGGAAATGTATTTTGGTTAATCACAGAGCATGCCAGTGTCACGCAAGGAATCGTGTTCCATCCTGCCAGTCGGAACGGATGGACAGCACCCCAAACAGCGATGAGGTTGGCACGTTCCAGTTACACACTGACGTGGATCTACTGGCATTTCTTCCATGGCTGTACCACGACTATACTGGAAGCCGCGGTGAAAGCGGCGTATTTTAGGAAAGTGACGGAGAACTGAACGCAGATCTAATTTGTCAACTATGACCTCTCGTGCACGAAGTGGCATTACAAGAGTTAAGTAAAATGTCATCCCAGCTACCGGACTAGCAGGAAGCGAGCGGGTCCAACATAGCCAGATTTTGGCCAATGGTTTTAGCAAACCCTGTGGATGGCTTCCTTGGCGATGTGCATGGCACACAGCATTCCTAATTTGATCATTTGATTTCCTTTCCTTGAGAGACTGCTTTCATCAAGGAAGTGACTGCCAAGATAGCAAATTCAGCCTAGGCTGATCCAGCCTGGCAGGATCATCTAGCACAGGTATAGAAGACCCAACACAGCCAGCTATTTTTGCCAGGAGCAGTGGAGCTAGAGGGACCCAAACTAAATGCCAGGGGCCTAAGGAGAATGGAATATACAGGAGAAATGAGATGAGAATGACTGTTATGAAAAGGAGTATTTTAAAGGGAGAAAGCCTAGAAGTCTATAGCAACTAGTGTTTTTATTTTGCTGTATTTCAGCTCTGCCTCTTTCTTTCCTTCTGTCCTACTTACCAGGAGAGTAAAAATAGGTTTTTATTAACAGCAGAAACCTGAATCACTGTACTCTAGCCTTAATGATTCCATCCTCTGGGAGGTGATTTCAAATACTTGCATATGCATATATGGTAATGAGGATACAGAGTGAGAAGAGAAATTCATTGAAGTTCTAAGAAAATCAAAAGACCTCTTGGAAAGAGCCTCAAGCAATTCTGTATGGAGTAGCAGAGTATTTCCTGGCAAGCAATTTTCCGGCAGGGACAGAGATTCTGCTTTCTGCACTGGTGCTAAATGTTATTAGTGAAGATTTGCTCTTCAGCTGAGGACCACTGGCTCCATCAAATGCCCTAATCTGGCTCAAGAAGCTACTGGCCACTGATTAAGCCAGAAAGCAGCTACTCTCCCATCGGTCCGTAATGCAGACGAGATAAAGTCCCTCCCCACCCTGCCTTCACCGCTGACCCTAAAACACAGGCTGGATTAGAGTACTGCTGACAGAGTGCCCTATTTCACCATTTACTCCCAAACAGTTTCATTGATGTTTTCCGAGCCAACAGCCCTGGCACAAACATAGCCATTTACCTGGTGCTCACAGACTGCTGCTTTAACACTAAAGGAAAAGAAAAGCTTTGCGGATCTCAAAAGCGCCCCTTGTCCAGAATATCCCCTGGAAGAGGCAGATTCCTCTCTGGTCTGTGAAACATTTCTTAGCTACTCCCAGCCCTTTGAAAGAGTGAAGGAAGCAGTAGTAAGAGATCATTTCTTGCTACTTTGCAAGCTTCTTGAGAATGCCTGCAAAGCACAGAAACTCCAGAGAGCAGCAGCACAAGTATTAATTGTGATCCTGCCAGTTAAGAAGTGGTGTCCAGATGGGTTGCTATAATCTACAGGGAGATAAGACAGCAAGGGTCAAGGACTGAATGAAAAAAGGAATCTGGTTGACCAGTGCTTAATGAGCCTGTCTGGTTTGCAGCTTCCAAGCTCAAATTTTATGTTGGACGTCACCACTCTGCTCTTTTCAAGTTCTGGTATAAGCGAGGTTAAAATAAGAATCAGTAAGCACAGCTGCAGCTTACTTACAGCTAATTCACTTCCCAATTCTAGGTCACAAATATTTCAGTTTCCTTGTTTTGTATGTGGACAATTTTCTCTGAAACCAGATGCCAAGCTGCAGATCACCACCCTGCCAGCAAGGATCGGTTATGAATGATTCTCTACCTCCCATGATACCATGTAAGGGCTTCAAGCTTACTGGAAGGTCACCGTCACCACAAGAAGCAACTAACAGCATTCCAGTTTAATTCAGTCCTCTTGCAGACAAATGTGGAAGGCACACAACAGTATGCCCTGGGGAAAGACAACACATGCTAGCAATAAACATATAGCGGCGTCCCTGCAATCACTGCTCCAATTCCTGTAATATCAAGAGATGTCCAAGTTCTTAAGTCAGGTTCATAAAAAAAGTAGAAATGAGTAAGAAAGAGAAGCAGTTTTCCCCTAGCTGATGCTAGGGCCAAAGGCGACAGTTCAGACTCCTGTGAGGAGAGGTGTTCTGTGCACAGATGGAGACTCACATTCCTTTAACACGCCATGCACAGTTGCATTATGAAACTGATGTGCAGAACGTGGGTAGAAGAACCAAAGATTCCTTCCATGTGCCTGCCACAGGGAAGGAAGGCAGACGCAGGCGCCTCAGCAAGAAAGGAGAGGAGGAGTGGTTTTTTTGTGCGTGTCCCACCAAGGGGAGATTACTGCATGACACCACGGACCAGGGATGGGAAAAGCCCATGAGTATACACGCTGCAGCAGAGGTTAAGGGAAACCCCTCTCACTCCCTCAAATGCAAGCACAGAAGTCAAGGAACACGCTCAGTGGCTGCAAAGGAATCTACAGTGGCAAGAAACACAGATTTCCAAGGGGTTCAGTACCCAGGGTTTGAACAGCATGGCAGAACATCCAACAGCTACCCTCCAAACCTCTCGGGGAGGACTCTGGGGCGAGCAAAAGCACTCGGGGAAGGTGGCACGGCAGCTTCCAGGAGGTCAGGAGGAGACACTAGCCCAGCACGTTAAATTTGCACCTCCACTAATAAAAGGTGGAAGTGCCTTCCCTTTCTTGCTATAAACTCTTGCAATCGTATCTATGACTGAACAAATTAAGTGTGACACTTCTGGAGAAGAAAGGCAAGATGGTTGCCTTGGAAACAAGGGACAGAGGTAGAATTCTGCATCCACTTCATCACTTTAAGTGCTGCAGCAGGGTCAGTGAATTAGTTACAAAATGCAGTATACGAGCATTAAGCCCTTCAGCAAAAGCACGGGGTAGAGAGGAGATGGTGAATAATCTATAGGGAGCAGGTTGCTAACTCCCCGGCTCTTGGCAGCTTTTCTTCACTGCCCCCCACCCCAGGAGTACAAAATATTCACAGAGGTGAACTAAAAGTGTCAGTTTTCCATTGAACATCATCCTATCCGGATCCTTCTGGGAAGAGCAGGTTTCAAGGCTCTTTCATTGTTATTCTGGGGTCAGCTTCTGGCAGTTCATAAACTCTTAGATGACAGGCTGAGACAGTTTTAATTCATTTCAATTTACAACTCGTAGGTCTGCGCTGCACAGATTGACTAGGTTTGAAAAGCCTCTGAAAGCAAAGAAGAAAATTTAGCTTTGTCCTGCTGAATGAAAAATTCATTTCATTTACAACTCGTAGGTCTGCGCTGCACAGATTGACTAGGTTTGAAAAGCCTCCGAAAGCAAAGAAGAAAATTTAGCTTTGTCCTGCTGAATGAAAACAAAGTGCAGAAACATGAGTTTGATGCAAGAGTTTAGCTACAGAGCGAGGAGGAAGGCAGCTAGCAGGTATAAAACTAAGCAGACTCTTCCCACAGCATTCTTCAAACAGGGCTGCCACTACAAGGGGGGAAAAACATTTGGAGCAGCTGACAAAAATAAGGGAGGAATGGCAGAATTACCATTGCTGGGCAATAAACACGTGCCTGGCTGCCTTCTCTGCCTCCTGCAGCTCTGTTGCTTCACGGAGCAATGCTCAATACTTCCTCAGTGTTTCCCCTGACCCACTGATTAAAGCCTTTTATCCTTGATCCCACTACAAGAGCAAGAAACGTCACTATGGAAGGTGAAGTGTGAGCTGTTTATCCAGCTCTGGATGGATCCTGAGCGCCCAGCTCCACGGCCGCAGGACACCTGCTCCGTGATGCTTCCCTTGGGATCACCGTTCCCTGCAGGACAGGGGAACATGGCCCCTTCCCATCGTGCTGACACGAGCCTGGTCTAGCAGCGTTTGGCTCCAATGCAAAAAAACACTGCCCAGGACATGGGGGCTATTCCTGTTGATTTTCAGCGCACTTTGATAGTCTCCACTGTCTGTATGAGCAAGTCACCAGTAACATCATCTCAAAGACATAAAAGGAGACTTCCAGCAGCACGGAAAGGCACTGGGTAATTCTGGTTTGAGCCAGTATCCATCTCAGCAGGGCAGCCTGGGTAAGTCGCTTGATGTTTCTATAGTCTAGTTCCTGTGCCTTAACACATGCTTTTGTGGGAAGAGTGTAGAGAAACCCAAAATCATTAATGACTGTTACTCCCACACGCACTAGAAATCTAAGGATTCTAGAAATCAAGTCTTTTCTCACTAAAATGCTTTCCAAAAACCCTCCGACAATATCTGAATGGCTACCTGCTGTCCTTCCGATTGCTTTGTTCAATTTAAAAAAAACAAACCAGCTCAGGGTCAGGTTAAGCATAAGGGCTAAGCTTCTCTTCTATTTAAAGAAAAACCAAGAGAACCAAACACTGGATTGTTTAGCACAATGCTACTCCACAAAAAGGAGACAGACAGACACATCCAAAGCCCAAGGCTGCAAGCTCTGCTGTGCTTGATGTAATTATTAGGATGCCACAGCAGGAGGAAGGAGGCGATTACTAATAGGGGACAAAAGCCTGTTAAGAAGCACTGGCTAAGCTCACAGAAAACTAATAAGAGGCTGAGTCTTGGAAATGCTCCTGTGTTTGCAGGTAGAGTCTTTCTTCAGCCCCTCTCAGTGCTATGAGATGAAAAGCCTCACCACCAGCAGCTGTGCCCAATTAGAGGACCCTGGGAGACCACGGGAGATGTGTGACTGCCCTCCAAGCCAGAAGCATGCTCTAGTTTCTCCTGCTTTCTAACTACAGGCAGGGTCTCTAGAGAAACCTCTTTGCTTCCAGCTGGGCAAAGCTGACGCAAAAACTCACTGCCTCATGGGAGAAGCATAAAATCAAGTATACAGAGTTGGATAACTAGCTCAAATACCTAGCAGATAGTGACACACGAGAACCAACTACACTGCCCCGAGCTTAGGGGCAGTTCACTGCAGTCTTTAGACCCACAGCACTGATAGGAAAGAAAGTGCTTTCAGTGCTTTTCTCAACACCTACTAATGTACTCCATAGACTTAATTCCTGCCATGCTTCTTTACAGAGCTTACCGACAAAGCATCGGTTTGACTGCGTGGCAAGCTGATCACCACCCTACGACTAGCTGTAATGAACAGGAGAACTACTTCATTAGGAAGTACAAAAGCATACAGTGCTTTGCTGTCTAGCTTGAAGCACTCTAGTCCTCAGTGGTAGATGGGAGGACAGTCAGTAACAGCAGGAGCTATTGTTTGGAAGACCAGCTCTATATGGTGCTTTAAATGCCGCGTGGCATTTAAGAGCCCAGCCCCAAGCAGTCTCTTTTATGGCCCACCATTACTGGGAGGCATGTGCATGGGGAAAGGCAGTCTTTAAAAGCAAATGCCTGCTCCTATCATCTCCCAGACCCAGTGAAACAACCAATGCACAGTGCTTGGCTACTATGTAAAAGAGTCAGCCCGACTGCTTAATTAATTGACCAGGCAGCTACATAAGACCTGCCTCCCCAGCCCCTTTGATCTTCGTCAGGAGTAGGTCGCAGTTGCTCCTCTGCAGAACACCAGTGCAGTTCAAGCCTGTCAGGTTTTGTTCTGTGGCTCCTGCAGATGCCTCCCATGCCATAACATCTACCAGGGATCATCATCTGACAGCACACGGCTACCGCTGCTGGTTTTTTTCAGAGACACAACAAGAAAATAGTGCTCTTCCTGCCTGCAGGCAGCACAAAGGAGGCCCATCACCTTCCAGGATCAGAGCCTTGTTTTTACAAGGTTCCCAAAAGCTTTCTGGGCAAGCTTGTAGGCAGGACCTCCGCCGAGCAGCTGCGGTCCAGCAGGCAGCTCTGCATGTCCTCAGAAGCACTTCCTATTCAAATAGGAGATAAGCTAATGCAGCCTCCGCGATGAAGCATCCTTATGATGCTTTTTGTTCTTGTACTTTTATCCGCCCAGGAAATCTCTGCTCAGAGGCAGCATGTTCAAACAGATCCTTAAAAAAAAAAAACCCTCAGAGATAACGGGGCCTTTCCCCCCCTCAGACAATGGCAAGGATAAAGGAGGAGGATATGGAGGAGGGAGAAGTATGACATTAAAGAGAAAGAAAAAAAAAATTTCCTATTGTCCTGGAACGCTTCTCCACATACTGATTCCATATGGAGCAAATACCAAGGGATATTTCTGTCACCAAACTGTCCAGAAAACCAGAACTAACACACATTACTAAACAGTCCTAGTTCAATAACCCAGCTTTAAGGAACCCCTGTTCTTCTGCTCCATTAGTACTAGCTGACCTCTGAAAAAAAAAAAATTATCCAGAACCCTTAATTATCAAGAACCAGTCACGCTAGAAACATATTTTCAACATATTCATTATTTACCGGTTAGCAATTCAAATGCTTTAACCGGATGCTCTAATAGGAGGAAAAAAAGCCAAGTAGAGGTTGCCAGAGCTCCAGCAGAGCTGGAGGAAGGATATCTAGTGACTTCCATGTGTCTGCTGTCAAAAGGAAAAATGAGTTGAGAGCAATAGCACAGGTACATTAGCATAAGAAGCAGAAAGAGAATGACTAATAGGAAGAAGCTGAACACTCACTTGTGCTGCCTTATCTGCTGTATTGAAAATCTCTTGGCTGGGTCGTATTCAAGCATCCCTGAAAAGAAGGAAAAAAAGTCCAGGTGTGATCACAGATGCTCTCAGCCAAGTTGAAGACAGGAAGCATAAAGCTCTACCCCTCCCTCCCACCTCCCGCCCCCAACAGCGACTGCTGTGTCCAGTCCTGGCAGCTTAGGGAGCCTTTACCTCCCTAAGAATCTGCTGCATCGGTCACAGGAAGCTCAGCACAAAATCCCGACTTCATTGCTGACTACCTGACCAAGTCTGTTCCTCAGTTTCCCCACCTGAAAAGTGGGTATGACCCTTCCCTCCTTCACACTGCAGGGACAGAGGCTTGTACAGCCCTGGATCATATGTCCAAGCATGTCTCCAGGCAAAGAACGTCAAGACTTTGCATTTCACAGATAATGCTATTGAAATCTCTCCATGGAAGAGCCAAAGCCTTAGGCACAGCATATATCCAGTTGCTCAGCATCCCAGGAACGCTAGTCTGGTGAAATTCTATTCTGGAAGTACAGCTGGGGAGAACTGACAAAAAATAATCCTACTGTCCGTCCTTTTGCTCTAGCCAGGAGTTTGATGTCTGGCATCATCTGCTAAGATAACCGGGGTGGGGGCGAGAAGAGGGGGGGAGAGGAAAAGTGGCTTATCTGTATTCTCTCTAGGAGAGAGGGAGGTGGATTCCTTAAACAGATTCATGAGATGCCCACTCTGCGCCACTGTCTTTAAAAAGCTTTACAACTCAACAGAAGGGAAGTGGCAAATTTTGCCGTGTTCTTCAGAAACTAGCCAATGGGACCTAACAAGTCTCATCCAGCAGCATCCAAGATATTCTCCAATGAAGGTTCCAAGAATGTATTCATCTAATGAGTGTTAACAAAATCTCACTGCTGTACATTACAAGGAGTTTTGCTTTTACTGGATGATACCCCCTTGTTGCTCTTGAAGCACTAGCACTGTTGAGTCTTGCACAGGTAGCATGAAGAGTAAGGTTTTGGAAAGAGGTGAGAGAACAGGAAGACCCCGTCTCCAGCAACCAGAAGAAAAGAAAGACTAGGAAACAGAACAGACTATCAAACAGGAGTTAAGGAAGTCAAGACAAGGAACAAACAGTGCAGAGTGCTGGGGAGAGCCAGTACAAGGACACAGTGAAAACACAAGGACGGGAGATACGTTTGGATGGACGTTTAGGAAGGGAGGGCTGGAAAGAGACATTGTAGTTCAAGTGAGAAGTTGCAAGGGCTTTGCAGATGAATTTCTGCAATACTGTTGAACAAAGGTAATGGAAGAGATAAATCACCAACAGCACATGTGATAACAAAAGCTGATCCAGAACATCTTCCTTGTCAGTTCAGTTTGTATCACGTTACTGACAGTAATAAATATCGGCAAAGAAAAGGTACAGCGTGGAAAGGCTGAAGTTATTTTCCCCCCAGAAACCAAAATACAGTTTGCCATGGCACTTTGTAAAGGTTTATCAGTGCTGATGACAGCACTAATAGCTTTAAGGCAGATGGAGTCACTACTGATCCACATTACATCACTATGAAGTAGGTTAAAGAGACACAGGAAGACCTCTCCAGGCTGGAGAAGGTCAAGTGCATCACAAGCATCTGGTCTCATGAACTCAAGGCACTAGAGTCTTCAGAGCCCAACTCTTCAGAGCTCTTTAGACAGAGCATACCGGAAATTTATACTTGCCTTGCCGAGACCACAAAACCCACCATATGGCTATATTAGAGTTACATGGCTGAGCTTGACTGCAGCTAAAGCAATAGCTCCCTGCTGAAGAGCTCTAAACTGTGAGAGTAGTTCCTTATCTGCTCCCCTGAATAGGCTAAAGCCCTATAAACAAGCAACCAGCAGCCCAGGCTGCAGCTACAGATAAAAACTGCATGTGGCAGGAGGTGATTAATGCCAGTGACAGTGCCAGAAGCTGAACAGCTAGGTCTGCTACTGAGGAACACCACTGAAAGTGTATTTTGAGATGGTCTTACAGTAAGGGTGAGAGAAGGGAAGGTATGGTTGAACCATCTTCAACAGAGAAGGGATTTGATCCTGAATCTTGCTGTCCTGCAAAGTGCTGCAATGCTTGTAATACAGCATTTAGGTGCTCTCGCAGGGCTAATTCCAAGTTGTTTCCTCACCTTAGCCATAGTTACTGAAACGATGCTAGAGAAAGCCCTCCTTTTTTTCAGTGAATACTACAAAACAAACTCCCTTACTGTTAAAAAAAAAAAATTATCGGTTTAACACTGAACACAGCCTTTATGAGGGACTTTCTCCACAACAAGGGTCCTTGCAATGTGCATTCTCCTTTCTTCCGTACTCCAGCATGTGTCCGAAGCAGTCCCCGCGGCCTTCTCGGAATCACAGAACAGCTGAGGTTGGAAGGGACCTCTGGAGATCATCTAGTGCAACCCTCTTGCTCAAAGCAGGGTCAGCTTGCCCAGGACTGTGTCCAGTTGGGTTTCGAACATCTCTAAGGATGGAGAATCACAGACAGCTGAGGTTGGAAGGGACCTCTGGAGATCATCTAGTGCAACCCTCTTGCTCAAAGCAGGGTCAGCTTGCCCAGGACTGTGTCCAGTTGGGTTTCGAACATCTCTAAGGATGGAAACTCCACAACCCCCCTATGCAACCTGCTCCAGTGCTCAACCACCCTTGCAGTAAAGGAGTTCTCGTGTTCAGACATAATTGCTCCTCACCTTACAAGGAAAGAAGTAATAATTGGAAAACAAGATGGGAAGGTGGTTCAGAGAAAAAAATCCCACACCTAATGAAATGACCTATTAATAAGATTATTAGACAGTAGCTTCACAGCTGAGCTGCCCAAATTTGTTAGCTTTTTTTTTTTTAAGAAATAGGACTGCAAAGAGATCTTACATGAAGTCTAGGGGACACCAAAGCAAGTACTGGCTAGGTTATCTTATTAATGTAATAAAAACAGGTAAGTCAGGACACCACCTTCCCCCCTCCCAATTTATTTCTTTAAAGACCACATTTCAAGGTGTCTTTGGAATCCAGCTTGTTATCATCAAGTTCGGGATAAACTTCTGCACATCCAAGCAGATACAACTGGAAACGCTTCATAGAAAACTGAAGTACAGTGGGACTGTCTCAAGGCTCTTGCACTTTCAGTTTGGGATTAATTTCACTAGGGTGCTGCAGAAGAGGAGTTGAACACCCTCATAAGCAGCTCACTTTGACCAAAGGAAAAAAATAAACATGCAGCAATTCAAACACTGTTTAAATTTCTTTGTTAGCCCTGTCATTCCTTAAGGCATTTACCAGATGAAACTGGTACAAGCAGAGGATAAAGTTCTAAGGTAAATTTTTAAGAGGCCTAACAGCACCAGTTAAATAGCTATGGTGCAGAGAGCTGTACTGTTCTCAAGCAATTAAAAAGGCCTAAAGAAGATAATTGAGCAAAAAGAATATTTACTTTAATGAAAAAGGACGGACTGTGTTTTAGGCAATGTTTGAAAGAAAATGGAAAGCCCAATCACCAAAAATGTACATTCATGCGTTCAGCTCTGACTCACTCACGGCAGCTCTGTGGCTGAAGTCCTGTACTGAAAAGCGACTTCATCAAGACAAAACATCATGTACTATTCACCAGTCAAGTCATCTAAGAGTGTCTGCCCACAGTAACTACACATACTCTCTACCATTTACGGTAAAGATTTCCATGCAGTTTATCTGCGAGTAGAGACGAGACACTAGCAGGGCGATTCTTCGGGAGGACGCCTAACTCACAAATCTCTGCTCCCATGGTATTTCAGAAGGATTCGCCGTGCCCATACATGGGATATCGTGCCCATTACAGCACACCAGCAGTCTCAAACCCCTTTCAAATTATGTCAAGTGGCAATCCAGAATCTGGAGACACGAACTTGTCTTGAGCTCCTTACAGACTCCAGCCCACACACTTCAATAATCCTGAACAAGCATAGCACTGTATCATGTGGTAGAGTATCTAGTTTTTAGCAGACAGTACAATCTTAGGTATGTCGTTTGAGAAGCCGGAAGGAATCTAACAGCAAGAGTTAATGAACTCAACCTGGATTTCACTTCAGAGTCTCCAACTCAGATCAACATTTCAAACAACCAATATAAAGCAGTAAATTCTGTAAAATGAGACAGGACTTTTTCCCTCTCCTTCATCTTCCACAAGCACAGCCAGGCGTTCTGACCATAAACTCCCTCTGCAGGCAAACCTTGAGTCTTTGATCAAACACATGTGGAAGACTTGCCCACTGGATGGGTTATAGACACCAGCCTGCCTGCCTGTTGGCTCCGGGGACGCCCTGCTACTACAGAATTAAAGCATCCCCCTGTCATCAGGACGCACACCCTCTCACCACCCCTGTAATGAAAGGTCATGGCAGTTACACAGAAGTGAGAGGACAAAACGCTGAGAAACTAACCAACTCGTCCCCAGTCACAAAGTCTGTAGCAGAGCCTGGAAATAAATCCAGATGTTTAATGCAGAGACTGCAGTCTCAAGGCTTTCTCTTTCAGTAAAAGTATATTAGAAGAAGAGGAAGAAAAGCTGACCTTGTGCATTTTTCTTGCCCAGAAGCAAACTGCATATGAGTTGATAAGTCACACGCAGATGGTGACAGAATAATCTTAAGGCTATTTATAAATGCTTCCACTCTGACACATCTTTACTGACTGTACACACAGAAGCCAGAACAGTACTAGCCCTTCTCTTTTCCATCAGTGAAGAGTATAAATAAAGCTTCATCCCTGATTAGGGAGACAAAAAGAGGCGCAGCATCCCAACTAATCTGTTGAAATACACTGTCATATAAGTCTCTTTACAAGTCAAATACCACAGAAGCTTTAAGTCCTCTAAATTCTGCTTCATCTGGAAAGAGGAACAAAGAAAAAAAAAACCAAGCTCAAGGTGGGGGGAAGCAAAAAAAAACCCAACCAAAACACACTAAAAAGTAGTCAACAGAAGAACAGGAAAAACCTTAAAGAGTGTATTCTAGTATTTGCTTCACAGCCAGACCAGTACTATGGTCAACACAGCACTTACAGCCAGCGTACTGAATTCTTCCTTACCATAAAACCAGAACAAATGCTTGCAGCGCTGCAGAGTGCTTTAAGAGTCTTTTAAAAGCAATGCAAAGGTGAAACAGTCTCTAGTGAGATAGAGCTGAGCTGTGGGTGTCTGCGCTGCTCATATAAAAGCATCAGCCAGCCATTGACAATATCTGCTCTGCAGGCTTTTGATTCAGTTTCAACCTGCTGCAGAAGTAGCAGGCACCTACCAGGAAATGCAGATGCTCTGGAGAAAAAGCATGAACCAGATAAAGCATTCAGGTTTTGTCACCATAGCTACGTAGTATCACCACTGCAAAGCTCAGCCCTCGTCTTCAGCAGATGCCTTGCTATCTGCTGGGCTGCGGAGATGCTCAGGCCTCCACAGCGTGGAGGGAGCCAGGGCAATCCCGCTCCAGAATTCAGTCACCTCGGGTCCACTGGATACTCTAACCACTAGAAAAAGTAAAGTGTGTCAAACCAAACAAGGAGAATATCAGGAGTTTTTGCCAGCTTTGACTGTGTAACAGGTGCATACGGCAAGATGAGGGGTGGGAGAGTGCTCTCAGGTGGGATGGAGGGAGGACAGTGAAAGGAATCCTTAGGACTTCCCACCGCCCTGGAAGAAAGGGTCAAGTTGATAGAGAGACACAGACATCTCCTCCCAGGTGAGCTCCTCTGCCTACCAAACGCACTCAACCTGCGTGTCTGTAGTGTCCAAACACAGAAGGGATGAAGAGAGACGGCAGCTAGGATGAAGGAGGCAACTCAGGCTGAAGAGATGGACAAAGGGCATCAGGTACGAGGCTCCTCTGTTTAAAACGAGGCAGCAGGAAAAGTAGGAGATTCTGACTGCAGGTCTCATACAGGGGATGGAAAGAGAACTAAAAAAGGAGTTATTCTGCTAATGAAGCATTAGACTTGAAGCTATCAGTATCCTCAGGACAAGAAAAGAGAAACAACTGCCACACTCATTTTCCCTGGGGTACAACACTAAGTGCAGCTGAGAGGCTTATCACAAACCTCAAATGATTTCTGCTGGATGCTTTAGAAGACTGGCTGCCTGTCTAGATGGACCACTGGATTTACTCCATTTGGGCAATTCCCAAGCTCATAAAAAAAGGCTGTGTTTTGAGTCAGCATTCACAAATCAAACGCCACATGTAGATCAGGACATCGTTCCCTGAGGCACGCGGATACGATGTGAAACACACATCAGTCAGAAGTGCTGGGCTGTACGCAGTAGCCACATTAGTCTCAGCAGAACAGCCAAGATACCAGCTGTGCCGAGTGCAATTTGAAGCAATGCCTTATGTAATGCGTTCTGAAAGCTGTTAAAGCTAGTTAATGCTTTTTGAAACACATGGAAATAACATTTCATAATCGGTATGGGGCCAGATAAGCTAAAATAGCCTCCTATGAGTGGGATCGCAGGGGGTCTGCCACCTCCTCGGTGGCGGGGGGCTGAGGGGAGCCCCGCCGGAGGCAGCAGCAGGCAGAGCTCGGACAGACAGCACCACCTGCCGCCGCCGCCCGGCACGCTGCCGGCACCGAGCGAGGACGCCCACGTCCCCAGCACCACACCGGGCCATGGCCCGCAGCGGAGGTGACCCTACGGGGCAAGAAAGCGAGTCCAGGCTGGAGCTGCGGCTGCTCGCAGCCATCCACGCGGGAGCCGGGAGCCCACGGGCAGCGCAGCCTTTCCTGCAGAGGCACAACTGCTGCCGTTTGCAGCACGAAGTGCAGCCATAAACCACTTTGAAATTGGTAACCTTTTGGCCAGCCACAAACTGCAACAGCACTGTGACCACACAGAGGACACGGCACAGTACATAACCCCCCCAGTTTAGCAACAACACCCGTATTACGAGCAGACCTGACAACACTGCGGACAGGAGGAAGGGAAGCTGACTCAGTCTGCTCACAGTGCCCCATGGCTCTTCACCCACACTAACCTCCTAACCCCATGTGGCACAAGAACCAGAAAAATAAACTTGAAACAAGACAGCACCATTTCATATTTGAGGTCTGATCTTTCACAAACAGCTGAAGACAAAGAAGAGAGAGCAAGCCCGTGCCGAGGGCTGGGGAGCAGTACCGCACCCGGCTGCTTCACTGCCAATGAGGCAGCAGGAACTCCGGTCAGGATCTCCCACGTGCTAGAATCACATCCTACCTGCTGCCAAATGGGCATCACCAAATTGGCTGCTACGCACAGCATAACTGCTGCCCTGACTATTCAGCTTTCAAGAGCAGAGACTGTTCAACGCTAAACCTCAAACTATTGCAATAAGCGACAGGAACAAAAAAAAAACCCAAACAAACAAAACCCACAACCCTCTCCTTCTACCCAGAAAGCGCTACTCCTATTTCTACCACAGCCCTGTTGTGAAAGTGGGCACCAGTCACTTTGCTCCAGTATCCTTGCAACTCTAAATTTGGGGGGCAGGAGGAGACAACTGGGATTGAAGCAAGTAAATTCAGAGCAGAGGCTGATGAGGAAAGACAGCAGAACCTGAGTACTCAGTATTTCACATTATAGAAAGCTTGGGCAAGGAATTTAACTGAGTGTTCTCACTTGCAAAACCCACATCAACGCTATGATGCCACTTCAAATTTAACCTCTTGTGGGCTTTGTCTTCAGGTTTAAGAGCTTCTCAGAGCACAAGAAACATTACGCAAGAACCAACTCTATAGAGTAGTGACTGCAACCCATGCAGGGTTTAGTGTATCTTGGGAAAATATCAGTGTGGAAGATCTTTCAAAGTTTTAAAACGTTCATAAGCATAACCTCCCTTTCTAACAGGATCCTGTATCTTCACAGGATGCTTGGAACGAAGCTCTCCCCGGCACTATGCAAGCTGAGCATGTTGCACCTATCGATTTTACCCATCCTTTTAGAGTCAGTTGGGAGACTCACCTCTCAATAAGTCTGAGAGTGGAGGACCACAATCCTCTGGAATTGTGTAGTCACCTTTCCCGATGTTTTCAAATAATTTATAGATATTATCCCCTTCAAAGGGGTATAGACCCGTTGTAATGTTGTATCTGTAAAGGCAGAAGGAGAAGCTGTATGAGAAAAAGCACACAGAACAGGTGTTCAGTTCTTACGTGACTACGTAAACCAAAAGAAGCCAAGAGGAAACTAAAAGATGAATATTTGACAGTATTTGGAATGCCTCTTTAAACTTATCCTTCCTTTATCACAGCCTCTTCATTCACATGAGTCAAAACCACCAAGACATCTCCCTGACAGGCTGGGATGGGAGAAACTTAAAAATAAATACTAGAGATATTTGTGGTTTCTATTATTACAGTAGCTGTGCATCTCGGATGCTGAGAAATGGCTGGCAGAGTTACTCACTGAGAGTAAAGATGACTTTCTTCAGAATTACAAGCACTGCGGGGAACATACACCCATCCAAAGGAGGGACCAGCACACATACACTCTCCCTGCTCCCCGCAACAACATGAAGAGCAGCGATGATAGCAGGTAGCACAAGACTGAGCTATCTGGGGACTTGTAATTTTTTATTGCAATTCCTGGATGCTGCACGGGCACTTACAGTGTGACCCCTGCGGACCAGATGTCTACTTTAAAGCCTGAAAAGGTGTCAAGGCCATTGGCAATTTCTGGTGGCTGGAATGCTGGCGACCCTTGGCTCGTTCTGCACGTGTCATCCTCTGCAAACGGATGCAATGCCTGCAGCAGAAGAGACCGATCAGTTTTAAACTTTCAAGGCAGACAAATTGTAACTGTTAAAAAAGTTTCACCTGGGGAAAAAAAGGGGAAAACTCCGCTACTGAAAATCTACTTACATATCATAAGAACATGCCACTACAATAACTACATGCCATCAGTGACAATTCTTGCACCAATCCTACCCAGCTAAGACAGCCTTCATACAATAAGAAGGGTAAGGTTATATAGCTTATCGCCATTTCACCACACTTTTGGGTTTGTCTAAGACTGATGTTTTCCTCTATGTGCTTCCCAGATGGAAGTTTTGTGCTGTTATCAAAAGTGTTTTGCCAATTACAATGACTATTCAGAATCACTCTAGAGCACTCTGCAAGTTTAACAGAACAAAAGCCTAAATGCACAGTAAATCAATTGGCACCACAAAGGTGACCTAAATCTAGAATGTCACGCTTCCCACATTCCTGACTTTGCCGCAGTTCTCACATACCTCTGCTACGCCTAAATCAGATATTTTCAGTGTCCCATTGGTTGTTAGCAGGAGGTTCCCCGGTTTTATATCCTTGTGGACAATCCCTTGGCTGTGCAAGTATTCTAAGCCGTCTATAAGCTGACAAAAGTACCTGCAGAAAGAGTTAGAGGAAGAAAGTCAAGCACTTCCATAGACTAAGACTATGTGAACTACTGATAATACATAAAGCAAAGAGTGCTGTTTTTGGAAACAAGTCGGAAATACATTCACATTTGATGCTTAGGAACTTGAGATTGAGCTGTGGTGTATAAGAAAAGGTACTTAATCTTCTGACAAAGTCAGAAGTTACCTGCCAGAGCTCTGCAGCAGTGCGCTAACCACTTCAGACTCTGGGCTCCTCCACACCAAAGCACTCTTCACAAGTCTGCGTATCTTCTATGTGCTGAGCACCACGCTGGCACAGACCTGACAGTTAATTCTGATGCCTGCTTTAGTTAAGCTAGCGAAAGATGCTCTTTCAGTGGCATAGCTTTCTCTAACAGGGGGTGGGGAAAAAAGTTTCTTTTAGCCAGCAGAAAGGAGTGTTTTGCTGGCACAGCTTACTTGGCTGAGCAAAGGTAACATGGATATGGTCAGAGACCACGGGCAGGCCATTACTATAACGTAGCAAGCACTGCGCATTAACAGCCTGGCAACAACTGGGCATGCACGCCTTCTCTCATAATATCCAGAAATAATACTTGACTTAAGGTGCCTGTATTTCACTTACGCTACCTGTAATCTCAGACACCTTTTTTAAACAAAATGAAAATACGACCATAAAAACATGTAGTTACCACAGATCTGCTGGTCTGCACTGATTTGATATACATGACAATCTTCTTGCACCTATTTCCGGAATTCTAAGGTTCCTTTACTTGCAGAGTGAAAGGGGCTTCAGATTATCCTCTCTACTAACTAAAGAAGCTAACAGATCATGCTGGATATTGCCAATCCTTAATCCCTCCAAAGACCTTTAATCTCTTTTCTGACACTGAACTGTATGGCTTGCCTCCATTTAGGCGGGGCAAGCCCTCATGGATTCCTCCATTGCACCCATCTTTGCTGAACAGCAGAGCTGCAGGAAAGGGGCCAGGAAGGGTTGTCATGCATCTCAAAGGAAAACAAAAGTAACAGAAAATTCAATAGAAAGATTTTTTTTTTCTTCCCAGAATCTAAGGGCTATCCTTGTCACCATTTCATTAGTTTTTCATTTTTTCCATGGATGTAAAAGATGCAGTTATTACACAAAGCCAGTTTTACTTTAAAGTGCAGCCAACAGTCTAAGCAACAGAGTAGAACGTGCTCTTGAATTCAAGAGAGTACAGTGGTGAGAGGCTAATGCAGCCTAAGGAACAAAACCGTACTTACCCGTGAGCCTGAAAAACTGGAAACCTCTTTTCTGGGACACTGTCCAGCATTTCCTGCATCCCACACACACAGTACTCCATCACCATATACGTGAAGGCAGAGTTAAGGAAGCTTCAGGGTTAAACATCTCACACAGCATTTGCCTGAGAAGACTGCAGCCCCGTTCCAGTGCAACTGGAGAGCTGCTGCACAGGCAGCCCTGTTACCTGGTATACACACACTGGAGAGGTAGAGCCTGAGCTGCGCTGCACCTCCTGCGGTAGCTACCTTCCTCCAACTGTCTAACGGGAGGAGGCAACGAACCCACGAGAAAATTCTTCTGCTTAACGACCTGCTGCAACTCCGTGATCAGACCTGAAACAGGATGCGAACTCCACAGAAATTAAGTTGGAGACCTCACGAGCACGTCAGAAATAGGATAATACTCTGAAGTGGCAACAAAAAGTTAAGGAACCCCTAGCAGAAGAGCTGTAGGCTGTAGCATATTCTCCCAATACCCTGGCTGGGAACCCCTGGCAGAAGAGCTGTAGCATATTCTCCCAATACCCTGGCTGGTCCGCGCTTGACGTAACAGTGAGCTCCCATCACCTCCCCCAAAGTTTGTTATTCTTCGTTTCCTGTTTCGAAATGATACGGCTGTGTGCACTATTTAACAGCTGCTGCTTACCCCCATCCCCATGGTAGTATTTCAGTAGCAGGAGAAAGGATCCCTAGAGAGCTGGGAAGCTTTTTTGAAACTGCGCGGATAAAAAAAGTTACAACAGAATGCCAAGAACTGGTGGCACTTTTTAGCATTTGTTCCCTTGCAGCATATTCTAGTTTTCATCTCTTTAAGCTTTAACGTTGGGGCCAAACAATGGAAACTACACAACTGCCTAAAGCAGTTGCCTCTGTTTTCCTCCTCTCCCTGGGCTCTTAAAGGCAGACTGTGTGCTGAGAGGGGCTTGCAAGATCAGACCCTGGGACATCTGGTGGCTTTGCCAAGGGACTGCACCTTCAAGATAAAGAGCAGAGAAAAGCGCGGCTGTCAGGCAGCCCATGTTCTCCAGTAACACAAAGCATTTCTTTGGTCACTCTAATTACTCCTGGCAGATGCCTTCTTAACCTAAGCCTAAAATAAGTTGCCTATGTCCCAGGATGCCATCTTAACTCTTGAGGCAGGAGAGACTAAAGAGATGACCTGCGCTTTAAGTGGGATCTGCGCTAAAGATTGTGTTGCCCTTTTGTAGCACGTTCTATCGAGGAGCTCAAAACACTGTCCGAACTCATTAAATTTGTGTTACATTCCCCATGTGAGCCGCTCTTCAGGGGGACACTAAAGCACTGCAAGATTTTATGATGGGCACAATGCCACCCAGGAAATCAGTAGAAGCAAGAATAGCAGAAAAAGCTCCCAAAATTCATTCCTACCATTTCTTATTCTGAAAGACATCTGTGAACTATTTATATCACAGCGATGTGGAAGACATCAACTCTGCCACCTTCCAGAGAATAACACTAACAGTAGATTATATAGACTAGCTCCCGGGAAGCAAGACCCAGGTCTCGTTCTCATCTACAAAGGACAGCCTGATTTTGGTTTCATTTGCTGCCAGACTGTTTTTCACCCCTTCTTTTGTAACTGATCCATCTCTGGTTGATCAGCCAGATTAGAGTACAAACTTCCAGGCTGGAGCAGATCTGTTACAGGTGCCCCAAGAAGACTGAGGCTCTCAACTCTTCTAATCGATAGGGTTCTGCTCCCACGCACAACTGCACGTACTGGTAACAGAAGCTGTCAGAGAAGGTGCCAGCTGGGATCCTGCTTATTGAACCGGGTTTATTTTCTGCCTGGATTAGTTCTCCATTCATCACCAGCTCCGCATTCCCAGCCACAGCAGGTCATCAGAGCAGCCCATTAAATACTAAACGTAGTTGATATTTTTTAATGCAGTCATCGCAGCTTTCCCTTCACCAAAGAAAATCACTGAAGGCTTTGACTAGGCAGGTAAGTTGTTAAAACACTATCTTCCCAAGTATAAACATAGCTGAAGCCTGCAGTTCACTTCTATCAGCAACAGAAAACTCAGGTGAGAACAGAATCCTTCCTTCTTCTACAGGCCCAATTTCAAATGCCACAACGGTCATTCTGGAAATGAGGATTTTTTTTTTATTAATAAGGGGGAAGCCGACATCCCTCCCCTATACCCCCCTCAACTTTTATCTTACATTGCTTCCCGCAAGGCACTAATACAGGCATTTGCGTGACTACACAGTGAAACGAGTAAGGGAACTGACCTACAGAGAAGCCAGCCTAAAAGAGAAAGTTACTTTTCAGCTGGATCTGTTCCCAAACCTGTTTACCATGAGGCTGCCCAAGCGTTTGTACTGCCACATCCTCAGACATGCTCCACAGGCACTGGCAGTGCCAATGAGAAGCTGGAGAAAGGTTAAGCAAGAACATGATCATGGATGAATTCCCGCCCCCAGCCCCAGTGAAAACATCACATTTCTCCAGGTACTGCTACTCATGTGCACAGAATAAGCAGGTATAGAAAAAAAAAAACTTTAAGAGTGTAGAAGCAGATGAAAATAGAAATAGTGAAGTTAATCTATACTTGCAAGGGAAAAGTACTGAAAAACGATTTGTTCTTTTTCAAACGCTACTGTTCAGAAAGTAAAGCAAGGAACATCCCTCCTGGCTTAGAGAGGTCACATTTCGGAATGACCATTTTGGGTTGTCATCACCTGTTACCAACACATGAGGTCTCTCTCGGGCTCTTTTTCCCCGTGCTTCTCGTTTAGCATCCCAGCTTCCTATTGATTAAATGGTATCTCTCTATAGACAGTAATTGAATTACGGTCCCTTCAGTCTGTTAACGCTACAAAACACAAGCAAAAGTTGTCGTGCTTTTTTATACTAATGATGCGGTGGCAGGGTATTTGATCTAATTAAAGCACACAATTAAATTACCCGTTTTATGAAGTACTGTAATTGGGAGACAGTATTTAGAAAACACTGTCAAAAATAAAAGCAACCATTTATAACACGTACTACAACAGATCAGCTCAACAAGCTTACAAACTGGTTCAAGTCAAAGTGCACTCGGAGCGGCAGACTCATTAGAATCATAGAATCACTGAGGTTGGAAAAGACCTCTAAGATCATCGAGTCCAACCGTCAACCCAACACCACCACCCACTAAACCATGTCCCTAAGTGCCTCATCTACACGTCTTTTAAATACCTCCAGGGATGGGGACCATCCAGCTACTCACTTGCATTTCCCTTGCAAGTTAAAGCGTGTAATTACACTGGTTAGCGTCTATGCATACTTGGGGGGTCAGCGCACTGTGGAATAACATGTGAAAGTCTGAAGGATGCACTGAGATCACAAGCCACAGATTTGATTCAAGAGCTGAACCGTTTAGTCTCAAAAAGCTGAGCTGTAGATCTCACAGGAGCAATATGCTTTCAATCTCTCGTGACCGTTACAAGCTGTAGGTCACTTAAGCACTATCACAAGGGATTTTCACACAAACAAAACAGAGGAGGCTTGGGCAGGCTCGGGAGCTCATCTTATCTTGTCAAGGATAACCAGCAGCAAAGCATACCAACCGCCCGCAGAAGAGGCAGCACTGCAGCAGTACAGACCCTCCAAAGGGAAGGAGACTTGCAGGCATCCGGATGCCAGCAAACGAGTAGATTTTTTTTTTTTCTTCTTTTGAGGGAAAGAAAAAAAAATACCTAAACCACTGCCAAGGACTTAAAGGAAAAAGCATTACAAAAATTGATTTCACATAGCATAGACAATAAAAGGTCCATCTTCAGGGGAAAAAAAAGCACTAACATATACCACAGCTAGGACAGGAGGTTAGAAATGATAGATCTGCAGCTCTTTTTTCATCTCCGAGTTGCTGAAGGTCACACAACAAAACACAGTATTTGAGGGTCAGTTCTCCCCTACCCCAGCCCTGCGCATCTGTAACCTGGGGACAATATTTCATTTCCTAACTGGGAAGCTGGGAAACTTAAGAAAATGTACTTGTGTGGAAAGTATTCCAGACATGCAGTATGTTTAATACCAGTGAAAGCAATTTTAAGCTTAAGAAACATTCAAGAGGGCCTTAACAAAAGCAGAACTATAATGATTCAGCGCTATAGCAGAGAACAATGGAATTCAAACCTTATTAACAACTGTGTGAAAAAAGGATATATTTTCTGCTTCTCTTCATTGTATAATACATCTACCAACTGGATAACATTTTTGTGCCGTAATCGTCGCAGGAGCTGAATTTCCCTGCAGGAAGAGAAAAGGAAAAAAGTTATGTTTAAAAAGCCTATTTCCTTACTATGGAATGAAATTAATGTTTTCTAAATCACATGGATTTTAAAGACACTTCAAACCATATTAGTCCCAACTGCTTCACCTAAGACTACCTATGCATGCTGTTTGACAGAAGGTCTTGTGTGTTCTTGACTTCATTAGTCCAAGGTTAGACCGTGAAAATACTGACTGGTCACTGACTAGGACTATAAACAAGTACCCTTTCAGTTAACACTACACAGACAGTTTTCTCTGGGCAGAAATTTTAGTCCATTGGTAAACAGCAGGAGAACTATTCTCAAGGAGCAACCTACCTTTGTGCTGGACAGGGAATTGGTCATCAGAATGCCCTGTGCCAATGCTTTGGTGCCATTCAACACAGGCTGTGTTACTTCTGCTAATATAAAGGTGTATTCTGCACGCCAACGTAAGCTTTAGTCCGGTTTTACCCATAAAATCTGTGCAGTGCCCCCCTTTAGCTATTTGACTGGTCAACAGTAGGACGTTGGCAGCCCAACAGCCCCATTCAAAGTGAGTAGGAACAAGACCAGAAGTGCATCATGCTGAGCCAACCCACAGAAGACAACTCCTGGAGAGATCCTGCTGGACCCTCAGACACCAGGCTGCGCGGAAAGAGAAAGCAACCCAAGGACACACTCTGCAAACCCCCTGACTCCACAAGCAGCACTGGCACAGGACTTGCAAGGGCCTGCTGCAGCAAGCCAAGCCTCCTCCTCCTCCCACCCATACAAGAGGGGTTTACAGTGTCCCCTGAGGTCCCCTCCTCAGCTCACACCCTTCCCTATGGCCCTGGGCAAGTGCCTCACCATTCCCAGTTAAAGCTAGTGCTGACTAAAGGAAAGGTATAATTGGAACTGAAACGCCGCCCTGTCAACTGCTCAGGCAAGTCAAAGCCTACCCAGATTTGCTCCACGTGTCAAAGACGCAGCTTTATCAGCTTCCCTCCGATTAAAGCTTTTCAAACAATGCTGGACCGCTGGGAGCTTAGCTCGCTACCAGTCTCTTCAGTTAAACCCCTAAAGATGCACTACATTTGTGTTTACCATAATATCTAGGACAGTCACTTCCAAGACAAGCCTTTTACATTTGCACTTCGTGCTTCTTTATACATAAGCGTCATCTGTAGTTACAAGAGCAGAAATAGAATTGCTTGGGCTTCCAGACTTCATACTTCAGGGTATGTTTTTAATCAGCATCGTGACCAGGAACAACCCCCGCAGATGTCAGTGTAACGCAGCACCGTGCAGTTAGGTGCGCTCCTGTTGTCACAGGCAGGCAGTGCCCGGTGCCAGACGCGGCAGAGCAGTTAGCACACTATATAGCCCATTTCAGCACAAATTCTGTTATTTAGCTGGGAAGCAACTTGAATATTAGTTACTTGCCAAAAAAAGAAATAAAAAGTTTCTATACTTAACAAGCAATTCCTTCTGATAGTTGTTGTATTGTGAATGGACAGAAGTGATTTAAACATAAATATAAAGACATCAGAAACTGGCTAATCTACTAAAGACATGAACAAATGAAACTAAATTGATTTTTTATTATACCACATGAAATTCATCTGAAGAGTGGCTGTTCAGCAGAACATGATTTTCTACAGAACATATAAACTACAGAAAAAACGGGAGAGGTACCTCGCTAGCAAAAAGAGACAAGTGCATCACCAGCAGCACTGCATCTTGCATGATGCAGACAGCCTGCAGCCACAAAAGGGAAGACAGCCAACATGCCAAGGCTGCCAAAGGGGCAGCGAGCCTCCACCGCTCCCGACCCGAGAAGCCCTGCACCAAAAGCTTCCTGCGGCCAGGAGACGAGCGCGACGGACGTCAGAGCTGAGGGATGGAAGAACTCCAGAGAAGTTCACAGATGGGAGATGACAACGGCCTCCCAGCAGTCCCATCAGCCCCTGCAGAGCTGGCCTTGGCTGGGTCCCAGCAACTCTGGGGACTCTGCCTCAGCACCCCTCCAGCTCACCTCCTCGCTCCAGATGTGAGCTGTCCTGAGACCTCCCACCGCAACACAACCCTGCTTCCCCAAACTCTGCCTCAGCACCCCTCCGGCTCACCTCCTCGCTCCAGATGTGAGCTGTCCTGAGACCTCCCACCGCAACACAACCCTGCTCCCCGCCGCACGAACCACACTGAGAGCTGCTCGGAAGTCACGCACAGTTTAACAGCCACAGGTGCCCACCCCGAGCACCATCAAATACAACAAGCTGTTCACCGTTGGGGTTGCAGGCCAAAGACCCCTGAGCTGGCCAGTCCAGTAGTCCATTTGTGTGATCAGTTTAAGTGTCTTTACAGTAGAGTTAGTACAAAAATCGTCCTGAAGACACATCAAATTCCTCATATGCAGTAGCCAACTACTGAGGCAGTTTCATAGTGCCCTTTATTAAAGCTATAACTTCCACGAGAATTCAGAAATGAAGCGACCAATGTAAGAATTGCAACATTAGTCTCAAGAATGAGTCAAAAACAAGAGTTCCAGCTAATAACTCCATTTCTTCCAAACTTTAGTCCTAACTTAACCTGACTGAACGGTTCAGAGATCTGAATTGAATCCTCTGTTTGTGGAGGATAAATAATGTAAAACTGAGTGAGGAGACATCTTCCCTTGGCTATGAAAATGGGCCCTTTATGTCGTCTCGTATCAGCTGTTTTGATCTTTGTCTCTTGGGATTTTGTACTGTGCTCCAAACCACATTTTAGTATCTTTTGCATTAAACTCAGCCTGCAAAAATCCCACTGGATGCCAGCTGTGAAGAGAAACAGGAGGATCAGGACAGTCAGGTCAGGGTGGTTCTGTCAGTGTCTGGAAGTGCAGATACTGCTCTTCACTTTGTTCTTCTGCTGCTCGATTCTGGGCTTGTGCTAAACTGTACATAAACTCTTCTTTCCAGCTTCGTTCTCCTGCCGTTTGGTAAGTTGCTTTAAGAAGCACGGTTACATTTCAACAGTTAGGACTCTTGAAAGCAGCATTACAAGGAATTCAGAGCACAGCTTCGGAAGCAAGAGCGTCTGCCCAAACACATGACACACCGAGCTCAGAAAGCCACTCACCCCTTGCCTGCACAATTAGCCAGCCTCTAATAACAGGCCGTGGCCAGTACAAAGGCTTGTTGATGCATCACATCTGATTAACAAGCCAGTAACTGCACCTTCGAAAGGCTCATAAGATGCAGGAACGCAAGCAGGTTTTTAAAGGTCTTTTAAGGATCCCTGACCAGTAGCACTGCTTCACTAACAAAGTTTAGGCCAGGCACTCTTCCTTTATCATAGATGGCTTTAAAAAAAAGTTACGATAGCTAAACAGAAACCTAGGATAACAAGGCAAAGCTCAGAAGGGTGTTTAGTTTAAATGGCTGACAGATTTGCAAAGCGATGCAGCCGCTCTAATTATAGTAATGACCAAAAGGATGAAGTGGATTAAATTAGCATAGAAACTGCAGCCAGCATTAGCGTAGGTCTAAGAAGTTTCTGCATAATGAAGGGAGACAGGCTGAGTGCTCAGACCAAGCCAGCAAGAGAGGGAGTGAACACATACTTATTTAAATAAGACTACTTTGCTGTGAAGGCAAAGAAAGCTTCCAATATTGGGAACACATTTAAAATCCTGATCCCAACAGCTCATTCCCTGTAATACGGCTTGAAAGCACAAATACTAATTCCTTCCATGGACTAATAAATATTTCATATTTCTGTAATGATTTTTTTTTTCCAGAAGGACTTTGTGAACCAATCTAAAATGCCAGTGAAGTGCACCCACCTCTGGGGCAGAGGCCAAGCAGCCCATTTCCCAGAGGAAAGATTACATCTATTTTTAGCTACTCTTGCATTCTAGAACGACTGAGGAACAGAGGCAGCCAGACCACAGTCACCTCCAGTTCCATTTCTGTTTTCAAACTTCACCGAGTAAGTGAACATAGGTGCTCACCTCGCCAGAAGGTGCCTAAATTTACGTTTTTCAAAATTAACAACAACAAAGCCACCCCAGCCCACTGCTTTCTTTGCGATTCGCCTGCACAGCAGTGTCTCAGTTGACAGCACTGGGAAAGAGAGACTTGCATGCCTACAGTTTGCTGCCTTTCCTCTCAACCAAGGCAAGGTGGCTTCCTGCTTTTCCCATACTAGCCTAGTGAATCTGCTCAGATCTTCAGGACACCTTCCGAGCTGCTGCAACTTTGCCTCCTTTCCTTGCTACCTCTAAAAATTTAACATGAAATTTAAATCACAACAGTTGCTTTTGAGGTCAGACCTCTCTCCCCAGTGCAGAGGGAAAGGGAGAACCCCAGCGAGGGGCTAGGCTGTGCTCTCTGCAATGTGGTAATCGCTTCCACACCCATCCTACTCAACACCGCTATTATGTGGCCAGAATAGTCTCCATTATGGAATTCCGTCCCTAGTTTTCCATACTAGAAAGCCCTCAAGTGCGCAACAAGACAGACTGTCAGAGTTTGGGGCCTGTTTCAAAGTATAACCATCTTGGAGGGAGAAGAGAAGAAAAGAGAAAAGAAAAGATCTTCTAACTCGAAGGTTTCTATGTGGTTCTGTCAGGCCCATTAAGCTCATCCTGACAGATTAAGACATCCCTAGCAAGGTACCTTGCTTTGGCAAATAACAGGGTGGTGGTGTTGCTCAGAACCGTATATAGCAAAGCTGCCTACTTGTACCATGTGCTGCACGCTTTTGGAAGATGCCAAGGACAGCCTGGAAAGAAGACATTCTTCCCTGGACCATTCTAGTAAGAGCACATCTTCACCATAAGATTTAGCATTCTTTCTACAGTTTGTTTCAAGCCTCAGTTTCATCAAAGCCATTCTCGCTTAAATAAAAATGAGCAGTACAGCCAAAAGACTCACTCCCCTCCTTTGGCTGACAAGGTTCCTCCACAGGTCCTAAGCTTTTAGGATTTTACTGGAGACAGGTGATGGTGAATCTTTTCCACACTACCTA